TTCCTCTTGTTCAAGACAGTTATATCTCCTGCTTGGACTACTTAGTGTAAAGTCCTCCTAACTGGCCTGTATCCCATGGCCCTATCACCAACAGGAAGCCATGGTGATTTTTGTGTGTGTGTATGGTGTGTGTGTGTGTGTGTGTGTGTGTGTGTGTGAAACGAGGGTAATATGTGTAATATATGTATGTAGTATTTTTATTTATTCTTTAAGAATTGCATATATCCACACAATATTTTGATCATATTCATTCCCTCCTTCTTCAGCTGCACAGAACCCTCCCCCAACACATTGTTTGTTTTGGGGGGCTTTTTTGAGACAGGCTTTCACTCTGTAGGACTGGATGGCCTGGACCTCATTATGTAGACCAGGCTGGCCTCAAACTCACAGAAATCTGCCTTCGTCTGGAGTGCTGGGATTAAAGACATGCACCACAATACTCAGCTGCTGAGGTTCTGAAACAAAATTTCTCTGTGTAGTCCAGATTGGCCTCAGAATTGGCATCTTCATACCTCTGGTGTGGTTTACAGGCATGTATCAACATACCCGACTCTTCTTTATTTCTTTTTCTGAATTAGGGTCTTGCTATAATTTCAGTTTAAAATGCTAGAATGGGAGCTGGAAAGATGGCTCAGCAGTTAAGAACACTGACTGTTCTTGCAGAAGACCGGGGTATGAATCCCAGCATCCACATGGCAGCTAACAATTGTCTGTAATTCCAGTTCCAGGGGATCCAACAGCCTCTTCTGCCTTCCTCGGGCATTGCATGACACGGGGCACTTACCTACATGCAGTCAATACACACATACACACAAAAATAATAAATATTTTAAAAAGCACTAGAATGACTTCCTATTTGGATGAAACATGAAAATACAGCCAGATATATTGATGGTGCATACCAGTCATCTCGCCATTCAGGAGGCAGAGGAAGGAGGATCATGAGTTCAAAGTAAACCTGGAGCTGGACATGATGGCACACATCTGTAATTCCAGTACTCAAGGTGAAGGAAGCAGGAGGATTGAGAGTTCAAATTCATCCTTAGCTACATACAGTATTCCAAGCCAGCCTGTGCTAAAAGAGACCCTGTCTCAAAAACAAAACAAAACAACCCCCCCATCAACAAAACAAACAAAGGTTGGCCCAGTCATGGTGGCACATTCTTATAAACCAAGAACTTGTGAAGCAGAGGCAGGAAGAATATTGCAAGTTCAAGGCTAGCCTAGTATACATAGTGAGTTTCAGACCAACCAGGGCTACAGAGTGAGATCCTGCCTTAAGAGATTAAAAACTAAAAAACCCAAACAAACCAGGGCTAGCCAGGTAGTTGGGCAAGTAAAAGTGCTTGCTTTAAAAACTCAACAACCTGGGGGCTGGAGAGATGGCTCAGTGGTTAAGAACACTGGTTGTTCTTGCAGAAGACCCAGGCTCGAATCCCAGTACCCACATGGCAGCTAACAACCGTCCATAATTCCAGTTCCAGGGGCTCTGATGGCCTTGTCTGTTCTGTGCGGACATTGCACTACACAGGCGCACTTACTTACATGCAGGCAATACACTCATACATATAAAATAAAAATAATAAATAAAATAAAAAATAATAAATAAAATAAAATAAAAAATAATAAATAAAAACCAACAACAACAAAAAACCCAACAACCTGCCGGTCATGGTGGTGCATGCTTTTAGTCCCAGTACTTGGGAGGCAGAGGCAGGCAGATCTCTGTGAGTTCCAGGCCAGCCTGGTCTACATAGTGAATTCCAGGCCAGCTTGGGCTACAGAGAGACCCTGTCTCAAAAAGACCAAGCCCCTCAAGCCTTTCCCACGAACTGCCCCCCCCCCAACAACCTGAGCTTGGTCCCAAAAGGAAAAAAATAACCTGAAAGTTTTTTCCTTTTTTTGCCACATGAACCCTATGGAGTATGTGCTTCTATGTTCACACACACACACACACACACACACACACACACACACCCCACAATCACATACACACACACACACACACACACACACACACACAAAACAAAACACACAAACAAAAAACATAGAACAAAAGAACCTGTCATCACTGCATACCCAAGTGGCCAATATAGGAATATAACATAACTAAGAAAGGCTATGATAGGATGCCTTCACCATCTGTGTCTCTTGGAATGCTATCTTTCTGTGTTGAAGTAAGTTCTGGGTTGGTAAGATGGCTCAGTGGGTAAAGTGCCTGCTATGAAAGCCTGACAACCTGAGTTTAATCATTGGAACTCATGTGTATGTAAAAGGAGAGAACTGAATCCACAAAGTTGTCCTCTGACCGCCATATGCTCACCATGGTATGCCCCAGGCCCACCATACACACACAAGAATAATAAATAAAATAAAACTAAAAAGCACATTCTGTGCTGACCCTAGGTGGCGAATACTGGTAATCTCAGCACTAGGGAGGTGGTGGCAGATGGGTCAGAGTTCAAGACAATCTCAGTTACATAGAAGGTTTGCCTGGAATACATGAGATCCTGTTTCAAAAAAATAAAAATGTCAGGCATGGTGGTGCACGCCTTTAATCCCAGTACTCGGGAGGCAGAGGCAGGTGGAGCTCTGTGAGTTCAAGGCCAGCCTGGTCTACATAGTGAGTTCCAGGACAGCTAGAGCTACAGGGAGACCCTGTCTCAAAAAGACCAAAAAAAAAAAAAAAAAAAAAAAAAAAAAAAAAGACAGCCAATCAACCAACAACAATGAAATCTTCCAGTTGGTAACCAAGCAACCAGCAAAGTAGTATGTGTCTATAATCCTAAACTAGAGAAACTGAGACTGGAGAATTTTGAGTCCAAATCCAGCCTAGGCTACAGAGTGAGTTCAGGCCAGCCTGGATGGCTAAGAGAGAGCCTGTCTCAATAAATAAGTAAATAGTGAATAAAGGAATTTTATTTTTTGTATATTTTTTTATTTATTATTTTTATTTGATGTGTATGGGTGTATTGCCTGCATGTAGGTAAGTGCACCTGTGTCATGCAATGCCCGCGGAGGTCAGAAGTGGCTGTGGGATCCCCTGGGACTGGAGTTATAGACAGTTGTTAGCTGTCCATGTGCGTGCTGGGATTCGAACCCGGGTCTTCTGCAAGAACAGTGTTCTTAACCACTGAGCCATCTCTCCAGCTTCCAAATAAAGGAATTTTAAATTGGCACCAAACGGGGCTTGATTGGTAGAGTAGGCCTCCACCATGTAGCTTGCCCTGGACACATTTGAGGACAAGGGTGATAGTCTAGATGTGAGATGATGGGGGCCTAGGATGAAGTTGTGGGTGTGGGTCAGTAGTAGGGTGTCTTACAATGAATGCCTAGTGTGCCTGAGGTCCTGGATTGGATTCCCAGGCAGAACTGCAGCAGCAACAACAAAAACCAACCAGACCAAAGAAAACAAAAGACAAAACAGCAACAAAATAGTGGTGCTTGGGAAACTATGTATTCCTAACTTTGGTAGAGCAGAGGCAGGAGAAACATAAGTTCATCCTGGGCTACATAGAATGCTCTCAACAACAACAAAGAAATTAGGGGGGAGGGTCCAAAGGAAAAGAAATATCTCTTCAGTAGGGCATGGTGGTGCATGCCTTTAGTCCCAGCACTCGGGAAGCAGAGGCAGGTGGATCTCTGTGAGATCAAGGCCAGTCTGGTCTACACAGTGAGGTCAGGCCAGCTGGGGCTACCGGGAAGCCCTGGCTCAAAAAAAACAAAAAAAAAAAAAAAAAAGAAAAAGAAAAAGAAAAAATATCTCTTCAAGAAAAGGTTACAAAATTTGAGGATGAATGAAGAGGGCCTGTCATAGTGACCTCTAATCCCAGCTCTCAGGAGACAGAGGTAGGTGGATCTCTGGGAAGTCCAAGCCAGTCTGTTCTACATAGGGACATATGGAGTTCCAAGCCCACAGATAGCTACATAGTGGTATTCTGTTAAAAATAAAAAGGCCCATGAGATGTCTCAGTAAGCTCAGTAAGTAAATGCACCTGCCTCCAAGTCTGGCAACCTGAAGTTCCATTCCCAAGATCCACAAAGTGGAAGGAGAGAACCAACTCTGGAAAGTTGTCTTCTGACCTCCATAGGTGGGCTATGGTGTCCCATAAATAAATAAATTAAAATGTAGCACAATTTTTTTTAACAAAGAAAAGGAGATAATGACTACTTGTACAGGGCATTTAGAGATGTCCCTACTGGACTGTGAGTCTCCCCAAGCTTGTAGGAGCTGCAACTTCAGACTAAGCAGCCTTGGCTCCCTCAGCTAGAGTACTCCTGGATGAACAGTAGGTGCTCAGTGATTGATGACCAAGCTGGTAAATGTGGAGGGGAGATCAGACATGGGCCTGTGGTGCTGGGAGGCAGACCATCTACGCAGACCTTGGCTGTAGGGATAGGGTCTCAGGGTCATACTGGGGCCCAGGAATGTGGCTTTGGCAAAGCTTTCAGAAAGGCATGCTTGAGAAGATGAGGGAGCCCGGGGCAGGGAGAGGAACAGGTAGGATGGACAAAGGGGGCTGTGGGGCTGAGAAAGGGCATTTTTGGTGTGTGTTCTAGTTTCTGTCCTCACTGATCCAACATCCCACTGGTCGGTCTCTTGACTTTTTCTTGGTTTGTGGCTTTCTTTATTCCTCTCACATTCTGCCCTCTGTTCTAGAGGCTTTCACAGCATCTCTATCTTAGTCTCTTTTTAACTCCTCAGGGGCCGCCACCTTTGAGCGTTTATCTGCTTGATTCTCTCGGTCTGAGCCTCTCTGGGGGTGATTTTTCTCTTCACTCCATCCAGACACGCCCTCTGTCCTCTTTTCCCACCCTGATCCAGTTCAGTACCTAGGGTGGGGGTTAAGGAAGAGATCTCCCGGACCCAAAGAAGCGCCACGGGGCGGATCCAATCCTCTATATTTGCATATGTATGAGGTGGCCTGGGCCAGCAACTAAGAGGCGGGGCTTGGGGGGGAAGGGGGCGGACACCCTCAGAGTCCGAGTATAAAGACCGAGCGCAGCGCCCGCGAGTCCCCGCACTGCTGAGGAGCGGAGCCTCCCCCTGGGGTCCCGAATCCTTGCCTGTCCCCACCCCAGCTCTTCCGGCTTGGGCCACCAGCAGTGTGGCAGTCTCCGTTTGTCGGAGGAACCTTAAACGGCCACCTGCCGCTTCCCACAGCCTTTTTGCATCTCGGATTTCGGGGCGGCTCCCTCCCCTATCTTTCCCAGCCTCTTTGCACCCCGCTATTCCTGCGTTTCTCTCTCGGGTTTTGTAGCCATCTGTTGTTGCACCCCTTTCCGTTTTGCTTCTAGGCGACGTGTCTGGTGTAGCTGCCTTGGCACCCCTTCTTTGGTCTCTTTCCCTGCTTTGACAGCCGCCCTTTCCATCGCAGTCTGGGGGCCTAGCCTCGGCGCACCTAAGCGGCGCTGCCAGGAGCCCGCAGCGAGTGGTCATACACCCCGGAATTTGCAGCTGCCGCCTGCCTGAGTGGAGTGTCCCTCGCCTTCGCTGCCAGCGCGTTCGGGTGCGTGGAGGGCTTCAGCGCAAGCCGCCCCCGCTTCTTCGCAGCCCCCCCGCCGCACGCCGGGACTTGCCCAGGGCTGCCAAGATGGTCATCCAAAAAGAGAAGAAGAGCTGCGGGCAGGTGGTTGAGGAGTGGAAGGAGTTCGTGTGGAACCCGAGGACGCACCAGTTCATGGGTCGCACCGGGACCAGCTGGGGTACGAGGAGTGGCGCGGGAAAGGCGGTGGGCAGGCACCCGGCGGCGCCTGGGGGACGCGGGGTCCCGCGGCCGCGGCTCCAGCTCCCCTGCTGGGTCCCTGGCGTCCGGCCCGCCTGCCGGGCTTCGGACCGGGAGGGGGGCCGAATCACAGGTCTAATCTCTCCCGCTGGCCGCTGCGGAGGCGAAGAAAGTAGGTCACCGCCGCCTTCCCGCCCCCCGCCCCCGCGGAGCCCCCTCGGGCGGGGGATCGTGGGCTCTGAGCGCCAGTTTGTGCTGCTGCGGCGCTCCCGCTCCGGATCAGGGCCTGCGGGCTGCCCACTGTCATCTCCACCTTGCTGAAGAGTGCCCCTGCTCTCCCTCAGGCTCTCATTAGCCAGACAACCCCGTCTATTTTTAGCCGCACCCCCCCCCCCGGCCCCTGGGAACATTCATGAGGGGGGGGGTCTTTAGCCAGACAACCCCGTCTATTTTTAGCCGCCCCCCCCCCCCCGGACCCTGGGAACATTCATGAGGGGGCGGGTCTGGCAGGGGGTTCTGGGGAAGGTTCTTCACAACGGAAGTACTCCACCACTGGGCCTTTGGAGCCTTCCTTCTGTGGCTGCTTTGTGGGTGGGTGGCTGCCAGGGAGGGGGTGACACTGGTTTTCAAGCTAGATGTTTTCAGATATCAGTGGTGGAGAGAGAAGTGGTCACTATGGTGAGATGGGTAGGTGCATGCATCATCAGGCAGGGTGTGCCCATGGGACTTGGGGGAGTGCTTGGGGGAACCTCTCCATCCTGACCTCAGGTGATGGGCACAGGTGAGGTGAGGGCGGCAGTTTTCCATAAGAGTGTCATGCTGGACAGTCAAAGCACAAGGGACTCTGTGTGACATAATTTATATATATCCACACTGATTGGATACAATCTCCATCATACCACCCACCTAGCTAGGGCTGAGGAAGGGAGTTCAAAGCAATCTTGTTCTCAAGGAACCAGAAACCCTCCAGGATGTGAAGCATCAATGAATGCTTCTGACAATCAAAGACTTCACAGAGGAAGTGTCTTCTGAGGTGGAAAGATTGATAGTTCAGGGTGGTTGGAATAATACCATGTCCTTAAGTGAGGCCTAGGGAGAGGAACCATGATAGATGGTGTCCAGAGAAAGCCTCTAGGGGGTTCTGTCTTTTCTCTGAGACTCTGGCCAGGGTCTGTGTGAGTAGAAGGTGAGATGACCACGGAAATTCTGATTACTGGCTAGAAGACTTTGTAGTTGGTCCAGTGTTAAGTCCCTCATTTCAGGATCTGCTTTCAAAGTTTGGCTTCCATGGGGGGGGGGGGAGAGAGAGATTGCTATTTGAGTCCTGGGAGTCTATGTTCTGGCAGGTGGTGAGAATTTAGCTCTGAGTGGTGGCCAGTACCATAGGGCTTACAAAGTCCTTGTGCTAGGACAGCTTTAAGCATGAGTACCAGTACATCAGGAGCAGATGTTGTGCCTTTCCAGGACCAATCTTGGTTGAGAAGTTGGAAATGTAATTTGAGGCAGAATGACAGTGGCCTATTCCTGGGGTTGTCATAGCAACTAGAGCTTAGGTCTCTTGTGGCCTCTCTAAGGTCAGACTTCACTGTGCCCTAGGACCAGGAGGGGCCTGGGAGTCACGGCTGGAAGCTGGACTCTGCTTGTTTTCAGCTTGTTTCCTTTGACTCCAAGGGGAAGACTTTAAGACATCCTGTAGCTCTCAGCCTACCCCAGTGCACAACTTGAGAAGGAGAGGGATGAGTGGGGCCAGGTAAGTTATAAAGGAGACTTAGAACCTACTGACTCTAGTTCCTCCATCCTAGCCTTTATACTCCTCTTCTACCTCGTCTTCTATGGCTTCCTCACTGCCATGTTCACCCTCACCATGTGGGTGATGCTGCAGACTGTCTCTGACCATACTCCCAAGTACCAGGATCGACTGGCCACACCGGGTGAGTGAAAACGTTCCCCTCACCAGCCACTCTTAACTATTGTCACCATGTCCTGAAAAGTTCTTGAAGTCTGCCTTCCTTCTCATGCCCTGTAAGCTGGGGGTTAAGTGATCTAGAGAAGTGGCAGACGCTGCAGGAGATTGCCTTCCCATGGAGGCACTCTCAGAGCTTCACCCTGTCTACCCTAGTGTTCTTCATAAATATTTTCTTCCCTTGATGTGTTTCTCTTCATCTTATATATCCCCCCCTTCACCCATGTTGGCTACAGGCTTGATGATTCGTCCCAAGACTGAGAACCTTGATGTCATTGTCAACATCAGTGACACTGAAAGCTGGGATCAGCATGTGCAGAAGCTCAACAAGTTCTTGGAATGTGAGTGTTGGGCTAGTCCAGGATCTTGGGCAGGAGACTGGGGACCCTGGAAGTGGAACATCAGCCTCCTGACTCTTTACTTCTTACTTCCTTAGCTTACAACGACTCCATCCAAGCCCAAAAGAATGACGTCTGCCGCCCTGGGCGCTATTATGAGCAACCAGATAATGGGGTTCTCAACTACCCAAAACGTGCTTGCCAATTCAACCGGACCCAGCTGGGCAACTGTTCTGGCATTGGGGACCCCACCCACTATGGTTACAGCACTGGACAGCCTTGTGTCTTCATCAAGATGAATAGGGTATCTACGATCTTGGTGGGAGAATGGAGGAGGGAGCTGGGGCCACCATCTGATAACTGTTGTGTCCTTTCATTAGGGTTAATGGGCATTAGAGAGATTTTTGGTTGAGTAGCTGAGTAAGAGGTGGGGCTACTGGAGGCTAAGCTCAGTAGCTGGAAGGCTGGATGCCATGATGTGACTTCTTCCTCTAACTCTCACCACCCTCTTCCAATCTCTAGGTCATCAACTTCTATGCAGGGGCAAACCAGAGCATGAATGTCACCTGTGCTGGAAAGGTGAGCGTGTGGCTCTTGTCTACCTGCTCATCTGTTTGTACTTCATGGTTTCTGTGTGATTCAGCCATTTCTCCCTATCTGTTTTGCTCTCAGAGGCCCCAACACTATAGGGATAAGGGGGTAAGAGTACACTCTAATGTGGCTTTATCTGTAAGGGGCTTTCAGCCTTCTTGCTTCTCTCTGAGATGCAGAAGTCTGCTTTCTTCCACACAGACTCACCCTCTCCTGCACCAGTGCTGGCCTCTGGCTTCTTCCCTGTCCATGCTTCCTGTTTTATCTCTGTTGTCTGTCTCTTCCATGCTCCCTTCCATCTCCTTATTTCTTAGTTCCCTTTAGATGTCTGGTAGCTGCTGATCAATTAGCACCATTTGCTACATACAACTAAGTTGACCTTGGAACTCTGTACCCAGACTCTGCCCTCTCTAGAAACTTGTTGCCCTCCTCCCATTACTCCCCTCACTTCTTCCTACTGAGTCCTTACTGTTGATCTGTTTTTCTTGGTTCTGCTCCAGAGACTGATTCCCAAGGATGGGGTTAGAACTTGGGGCAGTAGTAGAGTAGAAGGCTTCCACTGTATCATTAGCACCCTTAGGAGATTCAGTCTGATGGGAGACAGGCCACCCAGCTGTAGACATGCAGACACATACATGCATGCATGCATGTTCGCATGCAGAACAGATGCACAGCTCAAGGGAAACAGATTTGAGAGAGGAAGAATTTGGGGTGAAGGAAACTTTGTAAGCTTCCAGGTGCTTGCCCTTTCTTCCTAACATCCTCTGCCTCTAACTTTCCTGTACCTCCACAGAGAGATGAAGATGCTGAGAATCTTGGCCACTTTGTCATATTCCCTGCCAATGGCAACATTGACCTCATGTACTTCCCCTACTATGGCAAAAAGTTCCATGTAAGTCCCAAGGGAGGTCCTTGATGGTGGCTCCCTGAGGGGCAAATAGAGATCTCGGGAAGGAGACCAAGGTGTTTTAGGCTTAGATCATTGCCCTCTTCTTCTGGCCTAGGTGAACTACACACAGCCTCTGGTGGCTGTTAAGTTCCTGAATGTGACCCCCAATGTGGATGTGAATGTAGAATGCCGAGTCAATGCTGCCAACATCGCCACAGATGATGAAAGAGACAAGTTCGCTGGCCGTGTGGCCTTCAAACTTCGAATCAACAAAACCTGAGGCTCCTTCTTCCTACCCTCACCTCTTTCCTGTGGATGCTTCTGGAATGTCCTTGACCCTGCCTGATCCCTCCCTCACCCACCCCAAAGGTATTTTTTATAACAGAGCTATGACTTGTCTGAGCCTCACACCTTTTTCCTCAACTTCTCAACCTAGCCTGATGTCCACTGTGATTTCTTGACTACACACAATTTCCACCATCTTCTTCCAACCTTACCTTAGCCAGAGACAGATAGATGGGCTACCAGGATGGCCACAGAGGAGTTAGTCTTTCATTCTGGGGGCTGGAAATGTTGTTCAATGATAGAGGGCTTACCTAACATGAGCAAGGACCTCAGCGCTGCAGGGGTCTTTCTAGATCTGGCTTAGCTGTGAGTGGGATGTCCTTGCAGCTCCCTCCTCAGCTTCTACCCTCAGAGCTCTAGAAAGCTGCCATTTACCCACCAACGTATACACTCTCAACTACCCACCCACACCCATATACTCCCTCCACATTTCAGCTCTACTTCCCAGAGATGTACGTGGTTCTAAACCTTTTCTTTCTCTCATACTTTCTTCTGTCTCCCCAAGTATCTTGGTAGCTTTGACTTCTGGTTCCTCCAGCAGGTTTTTCCTCTCTTCCCCCATCCCTATTCCCTGTGAGAAGCAGCCATTTGTAACTGAAGACAAGTTGGTTATGTGGCCTTTTCCTTCTTTCCTGGTACGTCCTGCTTCTCCCCCTTATTATGACTCCATGAACTAAGAGAAGTCTGAGTTGATTCTTCTAAAAAATTTTCTAGTAGTCTTTAACTGCTTCCTGGTCCCTCCTGTCATCCAAATAGCTACTCAGGCGGGCTTCACCTGGGCTGAATATCCACTTTAACTGATGGCTCCCTTCCCCCACTGGCCTTCCCAGAATATCTTTCAAGTTCCACTTCCCAGGGAGCTCTGGGGGAGGGGCAGCTATCTTGGCTCTGTCCCCAGTGGCCACCTTGGAAACGTCAGCTGGCTGGGGGGACTCCCTGAGCCCAGATCTCCACTCCCCCATCCTCTCTCTGGCTTCTCCTTGTAAGTTACTAACTGATCACTAACTCCTTCCCTTTCCTCTGCATGCCAGCTTGAAAGTGCCAAGTACCCTCGTCCAGCTCAGCTCTGAATTTCTTGGCTCTATCTCTTTCAGATTCTTGCTTTTTTAGAAAAAAAATCCCTATAATGCCCATAGAATGTTAAATAAGGGGCTTCCTGGTCTGAATATTCTTTAATTATTTATAGAGGCATTTTAACATTTTTCTCTGGTTTCTTTTCTTGTCCTCACCCTCCCTAACCTCTTTATTAATACTACAGTCTCCACATCCCTAGACCTACAAATGGATCCTTCCTTTTTTCCTCCCACTGGATCTATGTCTCTTCCCTTTCGGTCCCCTGGTTTTCCTGTTCCTTCATCTCCTCAGTGATCTCCCTCTGAAGTTATTTAATTCCTGTGTCAGATCTACTGTAAAAAGAGG